AAACAATATAAAATAATAATAATAACACCAGTGACAATAATAACAACATTTTCCTCCAGAGCTTTCCCCTTTTCAAGTACAAAAAGGAGGCATTATCTACACGCAGACAGCAACATTAGTTTGTAAACACTTATGCTGTTCTTCTACATTAGGAAAATATTTTATTTTCATAATTTTCTTTGTTACCTCAGGAGAGTGAATTGAATAGTGGAAAGGCAGCTTATCCAATGCAACAGGAAGACAATAATGTCCAGTTTGAAGACGATCATTTAATAGAATCGGCAGCCACTGAAACAAATGAAGAGAAAACACTGCAATATTCATGACTATTCTATTATCTAATTTGTTATGTGCAGTCAACAAAACAACAAATGAGATATTGACCCAAGCTTCTCTGCTCTAACCCATTCAACAGTAATTTCTTTGCATTTTAAATTCACTGATAGCTACTGTAGAAAAATGTAGAAGACTGCTTTACAAACCATCCCTTTTGAAGGAAACAAACACAGAACTTTTCTTGTGTGACATATATTTTTCTAATATATCCTACCAGAAGGATTTAGTAGACTCCATGTTTTCATTTAAAAAACCACGTATCTTGAGTAGACTGATCCTTAGCTTTGAAGCAAATCAACAGAGTTCAAGTTTTGGTAAGGATAAATTAAGTATCTTGGTTGTGGACACCATAAGGATTAAGGCCAGAATGACTCTGTACTGATAGTTGAACACACTTAATTTTTCTTCTATTCAAGTGTGAAAGAGGCTGTGCATTTGAGTATCGCAGGGCAGAAACATTTTATATTTAGGTGAATAGAAGCTTGAAAATTAAGTCCTCGCCTATGTCAAGTCTTGCTCCTGAACTACAAACTAATATAGTTCTTACCAATCCCATTGACATTGGTGGGACTCTATCTGTCCATAAAAGAAAGTCTATTTAAAGGATTCTCGGTACTGGGATCAAAAAAACCCACAAACTTCACAGCAGGAAGACATGGAAAGCACTTGCCTGGCCCCAGAGCTCAATTGCTGACCATAGCACTAAGACTTTCAAATCTGAAGTATTATCAACATCTATGCTCTCCTCTTATTTTAAAATCTCTCCAGTTAACAATATCTATCGATAAAGAAAAAGGTCAAAGAGACTATGGTACAGTATGTATTTCTTAAGCTAAAACATGTTAGTCTCAATATGAAGATAATAAATGCAAGAGAATTACATTTTACCTTCTAGATTCTTTCTGGTTTTTAATTTTGATGTGGGTAAAAGACACTTTAGAACATAAATGATATGCCATGTAAAACCTAATTGAAAATATTATATTAGTTGTTACCTCACGTATGAACATGTTAGATAACAGTAAATAACTGTAATTGCATATGTTTTAGGGTTTTTTCCTTGCAATAAATAGAATCTAACAGAATTAAGCTATATGCTACAAAGCATTGCTGTTGCAAATATTTAGGTGCATACTTCAGTTGCATCACGTGAATTCGTCAACTTCAAAGACACTTAACAATGTAAAATTATAGGATGAGGATGTAACATAGCACAGATTGCATCTGGTTTCTCTCTGTGAATTGACATTAAGACCTTCCACTGGTTTTGATGTATTACCATAACCAGAAAGGGAATATGTGACAAAATTCTTGACAAGTAAAGGGTCTGTTTGCACGGGATGTAGATACATACACACACACACACACACACACACACACACGATGTAGATACATATACACACACACACACACATATATCACATGGAACTTACTGAATACCCGAGGAGGGTTTCCACAGATGCTCCCTGCTTTGGCTGGCAGCTGATGTGATAGAACGTGAACAATAGATGGTGTTTCTCTGTGAGTTTTGCTGGCAGCTTAATTTTCACTTCTTCATAAAAATCAGGGGACCTGTTTAGGAAAAATGCCAAGCATATTTCCAATGTAAGTATGAGACGGAGCAGAAGGCAAATTTGCCAGTAGGCTTTTAGATGCTATGGTTATAAAAACTGTGTAAGTCCTGCGAACAGCCTCAGAGCTGAGTTAAACAAAGTACATATATATACAGCTATATTTATGAACTTTCTACAGCTGTGAATCAGGAAGAGCATAGATGGTATCATCATCAGGATACTTTCAAAAACATTCAATCTTAATTCTGGGTTCCAGCACATTTATTGTGTAAATCCTAAATCCCGAGTCCACATTCATGAGAACGAGAATGCCCCTTCAGCTCTTTTGGATCTGTGAATTCATTGAAATGAATGCTGTTACAAAGTTGTGCTGATGCTTCCTGCTCCTGCTCCTTAATCTTCAGATTAGGAATATTCTCAGCTAACCTCTGAAAAGCTCCAAACATGAAAAGCAATGGTTGCTTACGCAATGGTCACTTACGCAAATGCATGTAGCCATCCAAATTAGATATGACAAATCCGCATAAAATGTAAATGTTTAAAATGGATTAGTATCAGCACTCCTTGATGAAGTATGTAGGCTAAGAATTATGTGAAAAGGTCATGATTTATACTTCTCAAGTCATACAAATAGTAACAATACTTACTTATTGTGATATGTGATAGCGGTGTATATTTCTTGCACAAATTCTGGACTTGAAGATTTCCCAAAAATTACCTACATTAAGAAGAAAAGAAAGTAATAGCAGTCAGGTCTAAAGCATTTAATTGTCCTCACCTTGTATAAATTTTTAGACAGTATCTATGACTCTTCAATTTTATCTTAGCACGTTGACACAAATGTCTTATTACCAAGCATCTTCCCAACACACCATTCAGGGTAAATGGAGCAGAGGTCATTTCCGGAGCCACTGACTACCTCACATCACATTCCCCAGTCATGCACTAAAAAGTTAGGAATTGCAGGAATAAAGTTATGGTAAGCCTCTTACACATTGTCACATTGCATTTAACTAAATTAAATTAAAATTATATTTAGAAGTTTGTTTTTCAGTTGTAGCTTGCTCATTTAGGGTGAGATCCATCTCACCTTACCTTAGAGGTCCAAACTTCTTTCACAATCAATTAAGAGAAATAGGCATTTTTGGTGCTTGATTTGCTTCCGTTATTTCAGACACAGCCTCATGGTAAGATCCTGGAATCCAGTAACTTTAAAGGGAGCCCTGGGAGATGAGCTTAGACAAGGGTATCTGTACAGCACAAGTCCATACGCATTGAGATGAAGCTCTCTCACAGTGGAGAGGGATGCCAGATGAACTGTGTCTGTCCTAAGCATTTGTCAAAACCTAATCGTAATATGGGCAGAGTTTAAGGAAACAATGCAGTTTTGTGTAAAAGACGGTGTTACATTCACATGGCACAGCTCCAGCTCTGGAAGAAACGCGGCTTGGGAAAACACTGCTGATGCTCTGATTTTAATTCCAGAGCTCATGTGGAGTAAGGCTGTGAAGTATGCACTGCGAAGTGTGCAGTGTCAGCATGCTGACAAAGGCTGGTCAGGTGGCTGCCCTTGCTCCAACGTATTGTTGGATTAAAGTTCCTCAGAGTAATATTTCCACTCATTTTTCCCCCTCACAAAAGATTTTATCCCAATGTTATTCTCAAATAGCCAATTACACTGTCTGAAAATTTCCCCCAAAATTAAGGCTGAAGCAGACGTCTGGGTTAGAACACTTCAAACTGAACATCTGAAGCTTGGTAAAGCTGAAGAGAGGATCTTATTATGAGAAATGTTGAACAACCTGAACATAACAGTGCTGCCTGCTCTGCTAATAGTACACACGTATGCCCTAACACACAGTGTGTTTCAAACATGGAAAACTCTACCTACACTGCATGATTGTGCACCCATTCAGATTCAGGCAACGAAGATCCCAACTTCTACCTTCCGGTGTTACACCCGAGTATTTGTGTACACGTACAGTCCATACAGAGGAGTTACACTGGAAGATAGCCTACATCATTCTTAAAAGGTCGCTGAAGCTCTGTGAATTTTACCATTAGAGTTTCCAACACAGCATTGATTTAATATGACGTCACTCGTCTGAAAATAGGGTAGGAAGACTTCCATAAAAGGGAGTAATATGCCTCTGTTCCACTTGAGTGACAAGTCTTTCCTGTTGTGGGTGAGGACTACAGCCCTGCTTTCTGATGAGAATGACAAGCTTCACAAGCTCTCTGATGTTAGGCTTCCCAAGGCCCCACTAGAAACTGTGGTGATGGGAAGTGAGCAGTCAGTTCTCTCTTCAGAGTTTCCTCAGGAATGCACATAAGCAAAAGTCCGCTAAGAAATCTCAGCATTTATTACCGGCATTGCAGAGGATGGGTCTTCGCTACACATAAACTGGATCTTGATGGTAATGTTTCTTGCAGAAGCCGGTCGGTTAGCAAAATTCAGCCTCTGAGGGTAAACATAGAGGAGATTTCTGGAGGAAAGAAAAGAAAGAATAAAATGGTTAAATGGCAAGCACTTGCATTTCAAAATGAAGTGCACAAACTAGCATTTTGCTGATTCCTCTCCCTGCCCTTCAATTCTAGATAGTGAAAGCTTTGCCAGAACTCCATTTCAAAAGTTCACAAGGAAAAGGTTAAGTTCTTGCTGTGACACACAGAACATCCTATGATTAAGGTTTCTCATACAGTAAGCTATGTCTTTGAGAAGGCAGTCTTTCTCTCTTTTTGTTTTGGAAATATGTAATACCCAGTTACAAATGAATTAATATCTTTGCTTGATGTAATGAAAAGCAGAAATCTTTCAAGAAAGCAGCTCCCTTCTCAGCTGTGAAGAATCAGATTTTGGAAGGAGTAAGGAATCACGCAGAGGTGAGAAAAGCAAGTAAACCAGCAAATAAAACCAACAACTGAAGTTCATACATTCCTACCTTATAGCAATAAAATGGCATTTATTTCTAGATTATGCAAATCAAAAAGCAGTATCAGTGAACCTGAGTAAATACAAGTTAGAAATTTTGAACTGTAATTCTAGAAACCGACATTTTTTAGTAATGAATATGAATAATGCTTTAAAACACAGCATACTTTCCTGTTTACTTGCTTCTGTACATGGACAGATCACTAAACTCAAAAAGCACCTTTAATTTCTGTGGGGAATTTGGCAGCATAAATCAAAACCCAACAATTCTGGTAGAAAAGTAAAAATGCTAATAGAAAGCTTTTTCTGCAGTGAAGTCTATGGCAAGTCTGAGATTTCAGCTAGACCTGGATTACACACATTCTGGCATCAATATTATGTCTATTTAATGTCTCATTTTCCCAGTCTAGTATAGGATTCTCACTGTTTGTCCTCGGAGTGTAAGGAATAAGACTAGTGTTGGTGGAAGCATGCTGGCTTCCAATGAGAAACAATGAGAACTACTCATGGGCTTTCATGCTTTCTTTTTGTCTGTGACAGTGAGAAGCTACACACAAAATCGCCCCGTCCTTATCACAGATATCTCCTCAGCACATTGTCATCTGAAAACATGGAGCAGCTTTGGAGAATGTTGTCATTAAGTCAGACAGTCCATCTTCCATTTGTTGTATCCCAAGATCTGGAAAACTGAGGTTGATTCTCTTTATTGCCATGTGTCACAATGTGACAATACTCTTCAACTACACAGTCCAAGCTACTTTGCTAATCAACACATGCTACATGGGCCATGGCATGCCTTAGCAAAAAAACTAGCAGGTAACTTGCCTTTCCCTTTATTCAGAATAATACTCCTGCCTGCCACACTAATGCACTTTCTTCCTTACCTTCTTAAATGCAATTTCTGCTCTGCCAAATTCTCTCCAAGATGATATTAGGAAAAGCTAAGTAGAAGAGAGAAATATATTGGTAACCTCCACTGAATTATGCTTGGGGATATGACATATTAAATGAAGGATATTATCAATATTACATCTGCCAGAGGTGAAGAAATACATGTAAGGGAGGCTGCATAATCCAGTCATTGCTTCATTAATCTGCAGCCCAGCAGAAGATGTCACAAATGCATATAATGTCCCTGAACACTGGATTTTACATTTAGATGTGACTTGAGATGAAAGATATGTAAAAATCACAAACAGAGAGCTCTCTGCTGACTACACAACCAAGGAAGCATTATTCCAGCAAGTACTGTACTGAAGAGCTAAAGCTTGTGCCATTTATGCTCAAGCAGTTTTAGGGATCTTGCTCACATGTGTATTAAACCCATCAGCTCTGAGGAAGAACAGACGCAAACGCTGTCTCTGGATATCCTGCAGAGATGAAAGTGATGACTGAATTTTTAAAGCAGGAAGGTGGGGAGATGATCAGAAGAGGTTCCTTCACACAGGCATGAACTGTAGACCTATTGCTGACCACTGCATAAGTGCTACTGCCTGCCAGCATCCATACCCTCCAAAAGGCTAGAGGAAGCAATGACAAGAAGCATTTCCACATGGCAGTTAGCAAGGGTGTCAGGGCAGCACATATTGCTGTCTTTTAAATAATAGAACAACTAGCATGCCCATAAGGATGTAGTGAGCTCCAGGAGGCATTGTGAAATTTCTGACATACCAGATTTTTACCCATAACCTATTTGAAATATGATAGAGCTGAGAATTGTGGTGAGATAATTTTGTCCTGATATATTTAATTAACAAATGACACAGTGCCGGAGTGCTAGTAAATACAATAGCATACCATATCTACCCAAAATACTGGTAACATGCCCCCCTGAAGTTACTTGTGTTAGATAATGTGAGGCAATATTTCATATTTACCACCTTGTTTCATGGACACTATGCACTTCTAAAATTTCAGTTGAAAATGCTTAAAAACCTTAGTGAATGACATAGGATTCAGCAGCATGCAAGATCTATGCAGCTAGAATTCAACAGGTGGGACTTAGATTTGTTTTAATTGTCTCATTGATGCATTTACACACTCCCCCATCCTGACCTGGGAGTCAGGAAGCTATACTGACACACTGCACTGCTCTTGAGTGATGCCTCTTCTCTGAACTGTACACCTCAAAGTAACCATTTATCAAGCAAGAGGAAAGAAAAAATCCAGTGAGAAAACTGATGTCCTCTCCCTCTAAGTGCCTGCAGTCCTAAGCTAAAGAAGTCATATGTTCTTACCAAAAGGGAAGCCACCTACTACCACCAGTAATCCAGCACTATTAATAATTCTTGGATGAAGTTACTGGAGCATTTTCATTCCAGTGAAAAGCAGAGAAATGGTTTGAAGGAGAAAGCACAGTGTCCCGATGTTAGCAAAAAGATCTGCAGGCTTGGAAAGGAATGTTTTGGTTCTAAGAGTCCTGGTTGCGAGCTTTTTACAAAAGGACAATATTCAGCACCCTACAACCTAACCAGGGGCAGTATCAGCGCTCACAGTAGCTTCATTTTTCTTAAGACGTTCATGCAAGACCAAAGCATAAGCCACTGCCTGCTGAAGTGGAGCTGCAGCAAAACCAAACTGGTGAAGAAGATGCTTTCATTCAAAACAAATGGAAAGGTAGGCCCCCTCACACTACCCATGTCTTCCGTGTTTTCAGTGTTAGCTTCTGAATTGAGAGGAAGGTGATCATTCAGTGTTGCACTGACTGCTAATAATAATGATTAATGAGCAGTCCAGTTTTTCTGGGAAGCCATTGTGCTAGATAATGAAGTGCTTTTATCTCTACATCCTAGAAGAGAAGCAATAGTAATACCCTGTACGAGACAAGGAAAAAGAAGTGGGAAAAAATGGCCTCCAGTTTGGGGAATTAAACCACGACAAAAATGCCCAGCATTGTTTGAACATAGTGTATAAACATTAGTCTAAACCTTCTAACATTGCTGCATGGTAGGTATCTTTCTGTGGATGTGAATGTGCAATTGGAGAATACGAGATGCAATCAATAAGCCAAGGCTTTGCAGGAAGTCAGTGGTAGAACTGGAACTGGATTTATGAACTGCCATTCAGTCCCACATTCCTTATATTTTGGGAAGTTGCTTGAACCGAAATACCTACACGTTAATTTCAAACTTTAATTCCTACACGTCTCTGGAAGAATTTAGCTTCTTGCAAAAGAAAAGAGCACTAGCTTACTTGGTATACATTATAAATTATTTGCATCTACTTTCTGTTGTTTTTTGATTTCCTTAAGATTTTTTTGCTGATAGTGCTCTTTTGTTTCCACACAGTAGATCAAAGAAAAAACTAATACTGAAGCTGAAGAACAATGGCATCAAAAACACAACATCAGATTTGTTTGGAAGGCACACCACAGTATTTATCAGTATATGACAGATTTTAAATAGTATAAAAGTGCTCAGCAGAATGTGAAAGCAGATATTATACTAATGATTTTCATACAGAGAACTAGCAGCTATTCAAAACACCAAATTGTGAAGATTTTTTTTAAATACTGTTGTTGCATTTTGAATTATACTTGCTTGAAAGTCTGCTGAAAATAGAGTTTTCAAGACTCTAATTTATGATGTCAAATTACAATTAACCAAAATATTTCGAAGAACCCCAAACCCCCCTCTAATTAAACTACTTGCATTTGATTATTTTTTAAATAATTACACATTTCTTTAAAGGCCTTGTTTTCATCTGGAAGTTTAGACAAACCCATATTTTATTCTGAGTCTCTGCTCAGTGACTACACAGAAATGGTGGCATGTTTTCCTCTCTGCCTGTATTACATAATTAATGAAGTTTATTATGAGGAGTCAGGTGTAATACCTCATCTGAAAAGCACTATGACAAACAAGGTGTCTATGGGAGAGGGACATGCACTCCCAGAATTCTGTTCGTGAAGTTTTTGTTTTCATTGTTTTTGCTTTGTTATGCAGTATTTGACAAAATCATTTTTACCTGAGTAAAAAGCAAAGAAAAATTAGGAAACCTTCCATGAAACCTCGTATTGCTGAGATAGTATAGTAGATGCCCAGAGAAGAGCAGGCAGCTATTTGCATTGGGATGAAATCATGTGTACTGAGGAGCAGAATAAATCAGGACACACTCACATCTCTGTCTGAAACTGTAGTAGCTAGCTTAAGCTGTTTCCTTCACCTGTGCACAACAGTGCCATACTAATCTCTATTTTGTTTACCCTGAAAAAGAAGTTAGAAGCGCTAGCATCTCCGACTGGCACAAAACTAGAGCAATGGCCCTGTAGAAGATGCACAGGGCTACCGTGCTCCCTGCAGATCCCATGGGCAGAGTGGCAGAAAGGAGTAGATAATGCTGTGACGGCAGTAGTGGGAATAGCAGACCATTATACACCAATAGCCTTTCCTCGCGCAAAACTAGTCAAGGACAGGGTAGAACGATTACCACCAAAGCAGAAAGCCTCCAGTTCACGCTGCAGACTACAGCAAGTCTGAGCACAGTGACAAGTGGTCAATTAAATGAAACAAACAGCAAAAGAAAGGTTGTTTTTTTTTTTCCCCTCCCTCCGAAAAATCCCTTAACGCTTCCCCTATCAAAGCACGACTTCCTGGTTAAGCTGAGTTACCGCCGAACCGATGGGACAAATCCCTCTTCCTCAGCACCAACACTTCATAGTGGCAGTAAGCAGCACCATTTTAATTTATATTTCATGAGAAAATAAAATGATAAACAAACTTTAAATTATATGATTTTTTCTATTAACAATAGAAGGGTATTGAAAGAAATAAATCTTGGAATGTTTTGACATTTTCAGGGAACTATTTTTATTAAAGAAATGTAGGTACACAACAAAAAGAAGTGCTCAATTTCACAGTGCACAAAGAAAGTGGGCTGGCTGGTCTCTCTGGCATAAATCAGAAATAACATCATTTAAAATAATGGCATTACACCAGTATAAAAACTAGCAAGAGCTAAGTTCAAAGACTATAACAGAAGACTCTGCTTCTCCTATCACAAAGGAAAAAGCTATTATTTAAAAAAAAAAGACTTTTTTTCCTTTGAAATATCTTACATTGACAAAAAACCCCAATCCAAGTAAATCAAATCTTTGCATTTCTTTTAAACATTCAGGAGAAAAACTGAAGCTAGATGTCTCAGTAGTATTTGTCTGGACATGTGCAGAGGTATTATTATGCCAGTAAGAGTTTACCAGACTGTATTTTTATAAGTTTTCGTTTGTTTGTTATTCAAGTACATTGCTGTATGTAACCTTCTCCTACGTTCATGGTAACGTTAATAGAAAACAGGTAATTATTTTATCCATTTTTCATTCTTTTAATATCTAAATCTATAGCACTGGTAAAAAAAAAAGTTGGTTTGCAGGCTTACAGTCAAAAATCAGGAAGCATTAAATCACACTAGCAGGCCATGACACTCAGTTACGACTAAATGCTAGCACATTGGTTAATTGAGACAGGATGGTTCTACTTTTCAGACTAAAGGAAAGGGAATAAAAGAACATTAAACACTTAATATCTGGCTCAATTCAAATTCACAGTTACTTTGCATAGGTTAGTTTAATCTCACGCTCAAAAGAGTATTCACCATGCAGAGAACTAAGCAAGGAGAACTGCATGACAGTTAAATTAACCAAATGCATTGGCTTATATGCCCTAACTACGCTTTTGCTCACCAAATGGAGCACTGGCATGATTGTGTGGCAAAAGCATCTCAGAGGTGGCTAGGTGGTTCTGGCTGGTGGGAAAAGGAGGTGCTTTCAATGGCACTGCACAAACGCAAGTGTTACTTCCTGGACCCCACCAAGTTCCAGACTCTGCTGTTTCATAATGTTTGCAAAGCTGCCTCGGCTGACTTTCTGGGGAACTATTGCTGGAGTTCATTAACAGTTTCAGTTGGCAACTCCCCTTTCTCGCTCCAAACATGTTTGTTGTCACAAGGCAGTCGAAACATGAGCTAGCATTTCTGCATTTTTTTCACCATTTCCCCAGTGTATATAACTAACTGTCTTTAGGGTTTAATTTGGGTATTAACTGATTGAGTTTCCAGTTTACAGCATAACACTACTTATGGCATGCCAGTTGTGCCATCACCATTGACTAACTAATTAAGGTAAAGATTAATGAAGGCAAATATTCTTTATGGATATTCTCTTCTTTATTACAAGTTAGGCTGGACAGATCCTACTTTGTTTTGTTACCACAACTTTTACTTAGGGTGAAAATCAAAACAGAGCCCAAAAATCCTGAAGAGATTAAGCATGCTGGGTGTGAACTCCTGCACAAAAAGTGTAACTGTTGAGCTATAGCAAGCATTTCTTCTAATGTGGGTGTATGTATTCAATACAGACACCCTAGCAACTGAAGAATAGTGCGGAAACAGCCCAACTTGTTGCAGCAGACGCACAAACTAATTTTCAGCATGGTGGCTTTGATATTCATGATGTCTGGCTGCAGAAGTTTACCTTGGTGAGAAAACTAAAGAGAGAATATTTTGTGCAGATTCAACTCGCTCTATAGCTCAGTAACACAGCCATTGCTAATGCTTTTCATTTTCGAAAGCAGACCTTCAGATGCTGCCAGACTGTGCACTGGAGTTAACACATGCTACTCTTTATAGGGGCCAGACAATGAACAGGAAAGTTAAAATTCTGTCTTATTTTTTCATTAAAAAAAAAAAAGGCATCATTACTCAAGTTCATTTACATTTGCACCTTCAATTGTATAAAAACTACTTCCCCTACAGAAATGTCTGCACAAAAACCCTAAAAAATAAAAATTTAGAAAATGACATTAACTTCTATCTTTGATACACAGAGAAGACAGAAACACCATACACTCTGCATTTTAGCATTCTGGTGCCAAGAGCACAAAGAAACTGCCCTTGGGAGTTTGAATATCACAGATTCATAGCACAGCCCAGGAATAACTCCTCCAAAACTTCTAATGAGGCTCTATCCAAATTGGCTTGCTTACTCATTTCCCTGTTGACACCACATTGCAAGTTGTTATCATAAGATAAGTTGCCACTTCCTCTTTTTGCTTTCCTTAAAAGCTGAGACCCAAATCCAGGTGTCACCAACCGACCCACTGGCTGTCCAGTTTCCCATGAAAATGTGGAGCGTCTCCCTGGGATAAATTAGTCCGCAGCCTTGCAGTTCTGAGTTGTACTGAACCATAAGTCTTGTCCTTCTCCCCCCCGTGGGTGGGGTCAGGTGCGTGGGTGGGAGAGCTGGCTCCTTGCTAATCTCTGCTGCAAGAAGTGAATAAGCTTTACATCCCTTTATTCAGCTGCTTCTTCACTCTGTGATTCCTTACTGATTGTGACATCTTTGCCACTAGTGCAATTCAGTACCTAGGTACTGTTTCAGGGATCAGAAAAGTCCTTTCAGAATAGTGTCACTACTGTTGTAAGAAGCATTCTGCTTTACTTCCATGCCTTCACTAACACAATGGTCATATGAAAGCTAGTATTTCTGCATCTATAATACTGCGATACACCCGTTAAGAATTTTTGCTAGTTAGCTACTACTGGTATCACTGTTCACTAACACTACTATGCTGCACAAACACATTGAAGCACATTCTTTTGATGTTCATTTCTTCTTGGAGACTCAGATATGCCAGACCACTAAGAAACTATGGGAATTGCTCAGCTGCATGCTACTGAACACTGTGGTTTCCTTGAAACAACCAGAATAGAACACATTTAAGAAAAGAAACGACATAGCCTAGAGTCCTTGTTCATGGTGAAAAAGTACAGAGAGCTGCACATTATTTCCTCAAGTGCTCAGATGACTCAAATTAACAGTAGAAACCACCCAGCACAAACATTTACCAAAACTGTTAAAAATGATAATAAGATCTACTGGGAAAAAAAGACAGAAGAAGAAAGATAGATATATAGATAGATATATGATGCCAAGTCAGTGAGAGCTGTTAGCGGTTTTTTTGGACATTTTAGAAAAATTTTCAAAGGATAACATAGATTAGATCAATAAATACACTATAGAACATCCTGCAGGTGTTTTATCTTGTAACGGCTAGTAAGATTAAATCATCAGCCTAGTGCATAGCCTTTAACATTTTAAAAAAATATTTTTAGTTTCTCTTTCTGAAAAAAAAAAGTGTAAATTGCAATTATTTTTGAAAATGGATCTTAAGAATTTAAAAAATATATGTTATTTCTTACCTGTAAATGGTATGGGGAACATACACTTCTCTAATTGGGAATTCCAAAATCTCTTTGTGAGGACGATTACGGTTTTCTGGAAATGGCTTCACTGGTAGTAATTCTGGTGTCAGACAATAACCAAGGTTTTCTGGAGCTGGGGAAATCTCCAGTTTAAGTGTTCCTTTAAAAAAAAATCACAAAATCTCAGCAAAAATACAAAAGATAACTAATGTATAATAAAACAAAAATGAAAACACTATGTAAGGTTACATAGCAACAGTGCAGAAATAAGAACTGGATCTTTGGCTTGAGAATGAAAGCATAGCATAGAAAGGTACACAGGAAGTAACCTACACACATCCCTACGTCAGGCCACTATATAGCTCTTTATGTCTACCCTGTACAATTTCAAAGAAACAGGAAAGAAAGAAGGAATACTATACTTGGGGTTGATGTTCTTGCATCTTGCACACATAAATAATATAAAATTTGTCTGGGCGACAAATAAAAGACAAAAGGGCTGCTGTCTAATACAGTTCTCTCTCACTCCCCCCACTCAGATTCTGCTCTGTTTAATCTCTGCCAAAGTAGACACCACCCACCAGGAAAGCCAGGCTTGCTGTGGTGAGCAGTTAAACAGTTAATACTGATGACATTTATCCAAGTATAACTAGACTTTCAATTTAAATTCTCTGTTGTGATAAGTGAAAACCGTTTGGGGAACTCAGACTTGTCATTTCTGGCAATCAGCTAAAAAGGCAAAGCAGCTTTGCACTCAGTTCATTTTTTTAAAGGTTCTTCTACAACCCAGAAGAGCTTGAGCTCTAATTTATGTAAAAAGAAAAAATAAGCTGGTCAGGTTTTTGACAGTGGACAAATACTATCTCTGCTTCCCTATTTTGTTAGCTAACACTGACCCAAATACCCAAATAACATGAAATGTGTACACATTTTAATCTCTCTCTGTAAAATATGACCCATTTAAAAACACTGCAGGGAAATAGCAAGGATCTTAGAAATCTGCTTTAAAGCACTGTCTTCAAACAGTTTGAATAATAACAAAAGACATCCGGTAGATACACTGTAAATTAGGGAGGAAAGCAAATCATTTTAGAATATCAAGCTAAATATAAATCTCCATATTCACTCATACAGAAAAAGACCTCAAAAGCATCTGTGCTCAGGTAGGCACTGGGAACCCAGGAAGTTCCACAATAGCATATACTATAGACTTAAAACCAAAGTTAATTATATTTTGGGGTTGGAATTTACAGAACAATTTAGGGGAGAAAAGTACATATATCCTTTTCCATCCAAAATGAATTATGTACCTGGTAAAGTCTTAATTCTTCTCTGCAAGGAAGACGATCTTTTGAAATCAGCTAAAAATTTGAACAGATCTTCATCACTGAGCCTGTCTCCTTCCTACCAGGAGAAAGACAAAAAAGTACCTTTACAACAATACTCCATAACACTGAGAAAAGCTTCCGAGTGAACAATGTCCTTGAGGCATGCAAAGCAAGTGGATTACTGCCTTCTTGACAGCAGTTATCCTCGGTCCCCACACGAACATCACTGGTAACTTTTCCCAACACAGTTCACATTACATAGATGAAAAATGTCGTAGGCAATCAAAAATAAAGAGTATCCAGTACCTGTTTAAAGAAGGTGTTGAAGGTCAGAGAGGTTGTTTTGAAGTTTGATACTGGACAGCTGTCCTCTGAGCTGAGACTTCTCTCAGAAAGTCTTCTCGCCTGTAGCAGTGTTGCCCGCTTGTCATTAGTGGATCCTTTCCCTTCAAAGGGAAATTAAATGAAACATCAACTTGCTTTGTGTTGTTTCAGTACAAAGACTATCAGAATACACTAGAAATCCACAACTTCGCAGCAACATCAGAGGATAGAGTATCTAACACATTCCACTACTTTTATTTCAGACTATGTGAAATAGTGGAATGCCAGGACACACCTAGTGAAGTCACACTATTTTTGCTGCAGAGCACAAGCTTATTCAAATTTTTAGTTCATGGGTTATAAAGCATATTGGTCAATGTTGTTGATCAATGGTCCTGTACACTCTAGAAACTAAGATTATGTATATTTTGATTGCCCTGCATTGCAAACAAACTCCATATGGCAAAGGGAGTTTTACTTCTACAAAGCCAGTGTTCAACTGAAATTGGGCCTAAAACATGGAAGAATGTATAGCATACATAAAAATAAATATGCAGAGATGAAACAGTGAGCATATTAAATTGTCAGTGTTTGTAGCACTGGAAAGGAAGGCTGAGATGTGACTTAGAATCTGTTGTTGACTCTTGATGCCAGAGTGAATGACATTGTTTCTTATGCATAGTCTACCAAAGAGTCGCTTTGCATTCGTTAGAAAAGTTAGACAACTACCATTTAAACCTTCGGCTTCAGGTACTTCTCGTTCAAGTGTTGAAAGGTTGAAGAAATTAGTTAGGCTTATGGGAATCCAGGCAAATGGCATTCTGTATTTCCCCAACCGCTGACAAAAGGATTCAGCTTGGGCTTTCAGTTTTTCAATCTTTTCTTTTGTCTAACACAAAGAAAATAATGACTGTTTAAAAAGCAATCAGTTATTTTAATGCTACTATCGATAAAAAAATGACAGTTACATATTTACAGTTCAGTAAATAATTTGCATTCTTATCTCTCGTGTTTTCTTGCTACATCACTGTCAGGATCATAACTGTTTTGATTTGTACATTCACTTCTCATTTCTTTTCAATGAGTTCATCTTCATTATAGAAAAGGAGAACGCAGATCTTTTTGTAGTGACCCTCAAGCCCAGCATGAAAAATCACCATGAAACGTTAGCAGGTTCTACTTCCTTTGTCAGATACAGAAACAATATTCTGCTGAAAGCAATATTCTAAAGGTGATAGATGTGTGGAAGTCCAGCAAACATTGTCAGTCTGCTCCAGGGAGGTAAATGACCATGAATTCCTTGAACAGAGCTCATGTTATCTATGGATGACAGCACTGAATTGGCCACGTACACACTACAACAGGTTGTTTGCCCATTGAAATCAATAACGTGTCTCTGAGGTACAAGTATTTCTGCAAACTCCATAATGCATTGTCATCTCCTTTGCTCACCCCTATCTGCTTCGTGACTCAAGACTGTCAGTATTGATTTCCAAAGGGATCAGTAATGAAAGTGCACCTTGCCTTCTCATGACTTCTTCCTGTCGGTCACAGGCACTAGACTGCTTGCACCATGGATGCACCAGCTGGCTTCCTCCCCAGTGTTCTCAGGATTCTGTCCTATTCCAAAGGGTCTGCTCTTCCCCTGTTCTTTTCTTGTGCACACATTTTTTAATCTAAACACTCTTTATAGTTATTTACTTACCTTGCCAGCCTCACTTTCTTTGAGAACCATGTACGGTTCTGCACAGTCTCCGATTTCTCCCTGCTGAAGCACTTTTTCTATCTACAAAAAGCAGTAAAATAAGACACTCACAAAATAAAAATATCACCCAAATAGTAACATGTTGCTTCTCTAGCAATACGAAAAAGCCTGCCTAAATGTGCAACAGAATTCTTAAAACTGTCTTTATGGAGTAACCGATAGTAAACCTTCTCCTAGTTTTCCATCTGGTTTGTCAGAAAGGAGAAAATACATATGTGGCAACACTGTCAATCAGGTACTACTGCATTTTCACTGAAATCAGGAAAATTAACACATTCCAAACAAAGTGGTTGAGGCTAACTCAATTTCAGAATTAAATAAACAAAATGATGCAAAGTGCACTAAACCAAAGCCAAAAAACCTCCACAGAATGTAATTAGAATTTTAAAAAATGGCTTATTTCACTTTACTTTAAATTTCCCTTAGGCAGAGATAGGAAATTCTATATACTTAGTAGAACTAGAACACAAGGATATCAATATAACTTCTTAGCTTGGGAGTGAGATACACCAGTGGACGCCTGCACAGGTACTATTAAAAACTACCAGAATTCGTCTCAGCTACAGGAAACTCATTTTGTCAGCTCCACAAACTCAGACAACAGGCACAGCCGGGAACAGGGAGAACAGTTTTGAAACAGCACTGTAACATACCTTTATTACTAGGTATATATCCGACGAGGGATAAGTGACAGAAAATACTGCTGATCTTGCCTGAGTAGACAAGTCGATGGAGGGTGTATGAGAACGCAAGAATCCTTTTAATGAATCAGGGTTGAGGTCACAATGAAAATTTTCTGAGATCTTGAAAAGAAAAAGAATTGAAATGTATTGCAAAGCAAAAATGCATCACATTTTATTTTAAAATAAATCAAAAGTAGTAACTAGAACTACAAAATAAACAATTGCATGTGACTTTGACTGAATAAAAAGAATTCTAGATCAGACTGCATGTGTGAAAAAGTTGCATGGTTTTTTTAAGTTTTCCTAAATTATTACTCCAGAGATAAAAACCCAAGCCAACTGAAGAAAAACACTGTATGCACACTTACCTTTTTTCTTTCTTTTATGTCATAGAGAGCTATGCATGCAAACAAAGGTTCGATCTCTATATCAAACCTGTTAAGGAAAGACACACAGGACACTGATTAATACTGCACTCTTATGACTCTGTATAATAAAAAAATAGAAGGGCTATATTTCGACTGGCACTTCCATTAGAAAATAAGGAGAAATATTTAGTTTCTCTCAAAGCCTGGAGGATTTTTTTATTAGTGCATTTTATTAGGTGATTTCAAGAGGAAAAGAAGGCAAGTAAACTGCAAGCAACGTATTTTCTAAACTTGTCAGAAAGGTGGTCTCAGACATCAGTTAAAAACGATCATACCTTTCCTGAATTTTTTTTATCAAGTCCTGTAGCGTGTACAGAGACCGATCTAGTTTGTTGGAAATATATAATTTGGGCTCATTCCCAACTCCTTTTCACCCTGACAAGTTAAAGACTTCTGTAATGACGGATAGAAATAGTCCTCTGCTACACTAAGAAAAAAGAATCAAGCACGCAAACGCTTGCTGAACAGGACACCTGCAGTGGTGTAGCAGGGTCGGCAGCACTACACTGGTATGAACTAAGAAATGGTGAGCGAGGCTTGTGAAGGATACTTACTTCAGAGTCTGCAGCTTCACCAAAATCCTGTTGCCCAGATGTTCCTTTGGGCGATCCGGCACCGGCCGTATCTCCACTGCATCTTCCTATCATTAAACAGTTACTCTAGTCATACTCAATTAAAACAACAATTAAATTTACATACTTACATAAAACCTTTATGTGATGTTAACTAGGCCACTGCTGCAGACTAGCACCTCCCTCCACTCAGCAGGCATTTCATCTCTTCCGAGATGAAAGAAAATTCATTTGTATTTCTGAATATTTACACTCTGACCACCATCTGGCATTTACACTTCTGGCCCCCCAGCAAGCGTTACAGCGAAGGGTAACACCCTGACACAACCGTACCACCAGCACGGGGCTTGACCCGCACCGAGGGGGGTGTAACGAATCCTCAGGCAACATCACGAGTCTGAGTACAACCCCTGCATGCACGTTCAAGATAGCTGGCAGGAGCCCATGGTGACGTGCCTTCGCCGTCTTCTTATCCAAGGGAGACACATGTCCCGGCCACAAACCCTATTTTTCAACCGCGGTGCGGCTTTAACCTCAAATATGCTGGGGACAGCCAGCTCAGGAAGGCTTCCGGGCCAGCCGGCCTCCGAGCTCACCTCGTCCACAGAGGGGTAGAGGGCGAGGAGCTCGGCGTGCCTGTTGGTGCGCCGCGCCTCCTCGTTCTGCCTCTCGAACTCCTCAGCGCTGACGTGCCGCAGCAGGTTTTCCAGGCGGGGGTCTGGCTGCAGGCTGCGCAGGTCGAAGTCGGAGGAGGCGAGGGTCGTCCTCGAGGCCTCCTCGGGGAGCGCGTGGACATGTCGAGGCCCCGCCTATTGGAAAACAACAAAATGGCGAGCTGTGGCTTGGGCACTGGGATGTCATGAAACATCTCTTGCTTGTCTGGCAGAGAGGGCACTAATGCCACCTCTGCCGTGCGGCCTAGTGGCAAGCACAGCTCTCCGCTTGACGCCATTACAGAGATCCTAGGATGCTTCCTCTGAGGAAAGCTGCTATATTTGATCACTTTTCCCAAAGTGAAGGAAATGTACCTGAAAGCTTGCATCGCCGGAATCCAATGTTTCCGATTCGAATGTTTGTTTTTGAAGCGTCTTGTGAAAATCTTTTCGGGATCCCTTGTTTTTCAGGCTACAAGTATCTGAATTCCCTTGGTTCCTTTCACAGAGAAGCCCAAGCAAGCCAGGACAAGGAGGATTTAAGGGAAAATAAAACAGAAAAGACAAATTTAAAAAAATATTAAGCAACTGGAAACATTATTGTGCAAAAGAGCAGTGTAGCATAGCTTTTGTGCAAAAATGTGACGTTTCACAACATTTAATTGTTTTATCACACCACTGCAACTCTATCGTGTATATTAAGAACGGTTTTGAAAGGAAAAAATTCATTCAGATCATTTTTGCATAGACTGTGAGCCTGAGACAGCAGCAAAACCTGAACAAGGTACAAATTCAGCTCGGAGATCCTCATCAGACACGGTGATTATTTCAGTGACCTTAAGAACACAGATCAGGATCGCTTATCTCTTGGCTGGCTCTTTAGTCCTGCACTTATACATCGAGGAGCTTACTGCTCTTGTCCTGGACCTAACTGGTATCGCAAGTTTAACACATACACCAATCTACACCTTTCAAACAGTGCCTGTTTTTTGAAGAGGGATATTGCTATGGCACAATGTAACCCTCTCTGCTGGCAACTTCCCAAAATTTTGCAGCAAGGTACCAATTTCAAGTCACATTTTTGTGGCAGGTGGAAAAAAACAGCAGGTAACCTGAAAAAAAATACCAGACATGTCCAGAGCTCAACTTCTTCCGCTTTAGTACGCATTTTGCTAAATCCTGTGATGGCCTTTTTGCAATCAGCCTCCTTAGTTACAGTATCCTGCTTCATTCATTTTCCTTTTTGTAACACTCCCAAAGCCATGTCTAAACATCTGAGTACTTTCATAAAGATGCCAAGATAAGCAATTATTGATCAGGGAGACACCTTTTTATTACATTTTGGGAGTAACTAAATTATATGCTCTGGTGTGTTTTAATTTTAATTGTTTGCATTTTAATCGTTTGCCAGTTCAGTGCAAATGAAAACTGAAGTCGTAAAAGAGACAATCCCAGCTCTCCTTGGATGTGACCTTGTTTTGGAACCACCTTAATCATCCAGAATGAAAGACAGAAATTCTGCACAAGTTTACTTTAAGACATTTCAGGATCCAAAAGTGGTTTTGTTGATTATTTTTTCACTACCTCTGGTGGCAAACAGATGATTAATGGAGAGATTTAAGTACCTGAGATCACGCTTTCCCTGTGGTGCGCATGCTACAGTAGAGATGCCTTTCCCCTAAAGTATTCCTGGAAAATTTATTTATATTGTTTATTTATTTTGAAAAGCATGGTAGCAATTAAAACTCACCAAGAGGCAAACCCTGCTTTTAGTGCACATGTCAATTTAATGGCCACACACCAAATGAAGAAAATGGGATGAGGAAAAGGAACAAAGGACAACTGAAAGGAGAAACTGACAGGCACAGGAACAAGCCTCCCATTCAGCCTCTGGCAAAAACACAGGGACCCCTCAGCTGTGTCCAGCCCCTCTGTCACACACCTCTCCGCCCTGGGGCACGAAGACCACCTCTGCTCATGCCACCCACTGAAGACTCTTCAATCTTCTATTTTGAACCTTCATGCCCATGAATGGGTGAAAGTCGCTTGCACACTCCTCTCATCCATAGCTCACCAGGCCATACATGCAGCAACCTGTCCTATGAACCTTTGTCTCCCAAGTAGGCAACTACAGTTTTTCCAGCCTTTCTCAAAACAATGCAAAGCTTTCTACAACCACTTTTTCTCACTTCTCTCTTCCTCTCATATCTGTTTTGAGAATAGTGTCCAAGCATAACACGAGAGTCCCAATAACAATCTATCATGGTTTATGTGACATTGCAGCATCTTTTACACTGTCTTGTCCTTTGCAATTTTTAATAACTTGTTTGCTTTATTAGCCACAGCCATCAAAGCTCAGGTCTCAGGCAGGGCCCTTCATCATGTTTACCATAGACTCAACTGCTCAATAAAGTTTTTGAATGCAAATTTGCCTTACCTGAATGAATGAAATAGTAAAATACATGACAAATCTTTTCATGCATGTGTATTTCTACAGCTCCATTCACATTTCTACAAGCACATGTAAGTCCAAAAATAGCTATGTTCTATTTTTCACCTCACCTGCTTTACTGCTCGCTCCCTACTTGTGTGCACAGACAAAGCTGCACGCTGGGTCTTTACAGCACACTCAGAACAACACTATGTGAAAGAGCTAGCGCCTGTGCTCTGAGTGGTGCAGGTGGAGAGCCTGCAAAACCCGCTAGCTTATTTTTAGTGACTCACTGAGGAACCATTCTGAGAACTCAATCAATTTCATCAGCATGCCGGAGGAAGTCTCGTAATAACCCTCAGTGGCTGCTCCATCCCTGCACAAGCTGCACAATCAAACAATGCAATTCCTCTGCAATCACCAGAAGTCAACCCGTAACGCACTGACTGCTGATGTACATCAGGTCAGAAAAACAGAGAGTGGCAAGGGCGGGCGAAGGGACACAATGAAATGGGAGCAAATGTGCCAGCACTCTACCATCAGCTGCTACTACTGCTTCTCAAGAACAGGGTGTGAGTGCCGGAGGGGATGAACAGGAAGCGGCACAGAAAAACAGAGCTCCAAAAACCTCTTTCTGAAGAACAGGAGGGGGTGATGGAGAAGGCGGTGAGTTCCACTGGCACAGCACATCCCTGAGAGTCTGGGGACAGACACCCCTGCATAGAAAGCACTGACTGAGAATTCCCTTCACATTTAATACACAAAATGGAATGAAATTATAAAATTAGATTAAATTAAATCAAATTAAATTAAATTAAAATAAAGTATAGGAAATGAAGTCACTTGTAATGACTACAGGTCCAGTTCTGTGTGTTGAATTACACTGACCTCAAATGCAGAAATCCCTTCCTGATTAAAATAGCAAAGGTGGATGTTACACTAATAATCCCATGAATACAATCAGTCACTGCTGGGAAAGCCCATAATCCTGATTTTTTTGTTGCTACTAGCACTCTGTTTCATTTTCAGACACCATTAGAAATCAGAGCGTGTTGAATTTTCAGGGGCATGGAGGGAAAAATGAGGCGCATAGAAATGTAATCTTTATCCCTGTTATCTTTATCCCTGTTATCTTTCCTTTTAGTGTGATCAAATAACAGTAGTATTCCTGATTTAGACAAATCATCATTACAGACAGTTGATGTGAATTTCTTCCCAATTAATTCTCAGAATGCCTGAAATTAAGAAGCAGATGCAACAATATTTATGTATAGCCCACCAGCTCAAACAAAACAATATAGTTATATATACTACTGAAAAGTCAGTTCTTGTCGTCAGTCACTGATTCAAATCATTATTCTTTAGGATTACTTACAATAGCATGCATCTCCTCTCTGACAAATAAGATGCAAGGTATTTTGTATTTTATTTACTTGTACATAGCTTACTTTCGATTCACAATCAGCCACTCCCGGATATACGTCTGAACACAGTCTCTGACATGTGAGTCGAGTTCAATCCTGGGGAAAAAGCAACATATTGTAAATATTTTAGTACCTAGGTCATACCTTAAGGACAAAGAAATTTATCTAAACATGCTGTTCAGCTAAAGGCCTCTCTATTAGTCCTCTCCTGTATATCTATTTTACTTGTGAACTATTGTTTGAGATTTAAAGAATTCTGTGTACTGCATGAATTCTCTGATGCAGGTTTTTGTTACTGTGTTTATAATATAAATTAAGAAACATACATTTAACAGAGGTAACTATTTGCCATACTGTGCATTTCATGAATATAAGACCAATGTTGCTATAAAATAGAGCAAAATAAAAGAAATTGTACCAGGTACCCATCTTTGTGATTTTCAAAACTTGATAACAAGTCTCAACATATAGAGCTATTTTTCCAGAGGCCTCGGCTCCTTGACTCTTGCAAATGCATAGTCTCTTGTATGTTTTTGGTTTAATTTTCTCTTTCTCATATAAAGGAAGAAAATTCTAAAAAGGGACCCTAAGCTTGTTATCAGATAGCATAATGAAGATCTAAGAATATGTTTTAATTTAATTTTATGATTTTCAAATAAGTCTCATTTAATGTAGGGAGTTGTCTGTGCTGCCTAATAGGCTAGATACTGACTGGAACTGAAATATTATAAGCTAAAGTTGATGTCCATGAATTTGCTGTCATGATGTGGTAGCATAATTCCCCTATTCTAAAAAATGTTAGTGGCCTGTGCCAAAATCACCTGTTATGTCCCCTAATCCAAGTGAGTAAAAGAGTAGGACACACATGCAACGCAGAAATGGGTGAAAGATATGATACTTTTTAACGCTTTTGACCCAGAACTCTTAACAGATTTGCAACCAATTACCAAGACCGGATAACAATTGATTTGGGTTCACGCGTGCACTGCAGGACAGATCCTTGGCCAATACCAGACTGCTGTGTGCCCTGCCACTGGTGGTCTGACACAGCACATAGTCACATCCTGCATCTAGTTCAGGTGGGACGTATGTTTGCAAGCAGGCAGCACGTTAACCCGTTTTCGTAGGTGGTATGTTTCCTGCTCTCAGTGCAGGAAGACACCACAGACTGCATCACCTGCAGGCAAATCTTTGGTGCATGCCCCTACTGTGCTCTCATCTTCCCTAACATACCCTGGCATCCTTGACCAGGATTTTCTATGAAAGCACTAATATCAATAATGGCAGTGTGAAGGGCTAAATGGGAAGCTGCTGTGTAAAAAAAATCTGCTGAAAGCATATTTTTTGGTATTGACTGTTTGAGCTTTGCCACAAAGGTTTACAAAACCCTTAATGTCACTGTGGTGCAAATCAGGCCTAAAACCGGTTGTATGGCGTAAGCCTACACATTCTGCTGCTGGAAAAACAAATAGAAAATTGCTGTTTTAAACAGCAGGCTTGCTGGGAAGTAACCTTGGGAATAGGGAAGAAATGGTCATCTTATCTTTTAAATCTCATTTCAAAGTTGGATAATTTTTTACTATTTTTGTCCATCATTTAAATAAATGGGAACTTCAAGCACCAAAACGTTCACTGTCTCCCACATCCATTCTCTCTCCCCAGTCCACAGGAAAAAAAGAATTCATTATAAAGATTGGAACATTTTCTATGAGTAACTTCAAGTGAAAATCACCTTTTGTGCAACTGTTACAAAACCCCCTAGGAGCTGTATGATTCAAAGAGTTCTCAGATGACCTAGCATCGTCTCTACCGCCTTTGCTCTTCTGTACTTCCTGAGCGATGCATTGGGCCAAGAAGGAACTTGCAGGCTGAGACCTTGCTTAAAGAGAGGGGTTGTCAGCTAGTCCACAGCTAGCAAAAATCATATAAACTGTGGTTCCTGCTTAGCCTCATGGCATTTAGTATGTCGGACAGAAAACACTGAACAAATACCGCTGTTGTAGGCTCTAGTTTATAAATCAGAGCAGACTGTAACAACTTTTGCAGGAACCAAGGGGGATGTCCTGTGAGTCAGGACACCATAAACTAAGCCTATTTGTCTCTTCAGCGTTCAGGTCCAGCAGAGAATATGGACTGTGCCGTTCATTTCCTGAATATACTGGAAGGAGCCAGCCCCTCATCCCAAACACGTTGCGTAGTTAGCTGTCTTTGCAGACACAGCAGTTTGGCGCTAAACTGGTGCTGACTTCAAGTTTATCTCACTGTTACTGCTTGCAAAACTCCATAGGCGTTTGTGGTTCTACTTGAAGGTACCATCTACAGCGAAGCAATCCTTGAAGAGTATTTTGTATACAATGCATAGGACTCTCCTAAACCACATCAGAAAACTCTCCAATGCATCCCTTTTTCTCATTTTGAAAAATTCTGTTGTCCATAGTTTGCCTGTTTATCAAACCAGCTTAAATATTTCCAGGATGGCCAAGCACCAGTATCAACACATGCTACCTATTTTAATTTAAAAGCTGTTGAAAATAGTGAAATTATTTCATTAATGTCAGCCTGAAACCAAAACCTTGTGAAGTATGAACTGTTTCCCACCACTTAAGCAAGAAAGGTACTGAGAAAGAGATGCTTACTGATCTGATCAATGCTATGTAACACATAGCTGGCGGGGAAAAAAAAAAAGAAAAAAGAAAAAACCCTCAATCCTATGCTTAATACATGATCAGAATCAACTTCCACCTCTGGGATCACAGCTACAAAATTATTTTTCATACTACCCTCCTGCCCTTCTTTACTCTTCTTCCTGGTCTACGCCTGCCTCACTTCTGCTGCTACTAGCTAGCTCAGGAAGTTGTGTAAGCACTTGCATAATTTTAAGTGTGCAAACAGGCCAAACAGAATCAATGGCAAAGTTCAAATGTTTAAAGTTCAAATGTTTAAAGTTCAAATGTTTAAAGTTCAGCAAGTGCATAATGGCTGGATGGATGGGAGAGTGAGGTGTCTGGATCAACCTCTTCAAAACTATTTTTAAACCTGCAGCATTTCAGAGGGAGAGAAAGTCTCCTTACCCATCTTCTGGCATAGAGGGTTGCAAAGTCCTGCACTCTTTGGGTGTAAAGACAACGTCCAAGTCATCTTCAGGAAAGTCAGCAAGTTCTTGTGCTAGTTCTGAGTCCAAGTTGTTCAGCCGCGTCATTAGGAAGCCTTCAAAATCTACTGGGTCTACTGCGTCGTAAAAGGAAGGCTAATGGAAGAAACAAAGAGGTGTTTATTTTAGCAACAGAAGGTTTTTCTTAATATTGTAATTTAGGCTTATTTATTTAATTCTTGTCATTGTCCCATTATTTATTAAACATCGCAGATAGACTTCTAACCTCATATATAGTGCCACTGCATTTAATGTAAGGAAAAGTTGCTAATGAAACATTCAGCTGAAAAAAGAAAGGGAACAAAGAGATAAAACTTTCAAAACACAAAGAAGAAATGGAAGATACTACACGTAAATCCAAATTTGCACCCATTTTCTCTGTTGAGCTTTCCTAGATGCTGGTAGAAGGAGGGCTGACCGAGGTACATCCTGGATGCCCTCAGATGTGTTCTTCTGGATTCCCATGAAGTGCACTCAGCCCCCCTTCTCCAATCTATGGTATTAATCAGAGTTGTGAAAAAGGCAACAGAGGACAAGGGCAGGTGACCAAAATGACAGTGACAGGCAGCACCAGCTGGCAGGGAGCTGCCAATAGACTCTACAGCACATGCAACGAGAGGCACTAGCAGTAACAAGGCCAAGGCGGTAAGTCTCGGCAGTTATACTGACCTAAGGACCAACTATAAACACCATGGCTACCATCATGAACATGGCACCCATTTGAAGTGTTGTGCCTGACAGATACTGACTAGTAGAAATGCTGTGTGCTTCTACTCCAAACAAAGGTGAGGGCAAGATATACCCAAAATCAGAAGAAATAATTTTTTTCCATCTCTGAATGTTACTGGTTTGCATATTATTGGAGTTCTAATTTTATTGGGTTTTTCAACGGTTAGTACAGTAACTACACAAGTGATTACATGGAACTACTGAAGTTATTATTGCAAACTTTAGATATCCACCATTTCTACAGCACATGGCATTGCACCTTGATAGAGTGCAGTTGTATCTGATTACATGTAATCAGCCATTCTTACACAGAATGTCTGATCAGAACGAAGTTAAACAAGTACAAGCTCTGCTACTCACACACGCCATGAAGCTGTCTGGCTCTTTTTATCTGCTTAGTCTCAAAAACAGAGGCAGAAAATCTTGTTTGATGTGCTACCTAGAAATGTTCCACATACGCATAAATGTGACTTCATATGTTAAAAGCATATGTTATTCTATGTATAGATAAAACTGAAAATTATTTTACTTGGTATATAGCCAACAAAAAATAGCCAGTATATGTTTAAAAAAAAACCCCATCTGTCCAGTTGAGTACAGAGACCAGCATGTCATATTGTTAATTTTCTTGACAAGTAACAAATATATCTAAAAGCTACAGCTTTAGAAAACCTATAGTTCATGTTCTGTGAATTCCAGAAAGGCCAAGGACACCTCAGTGCAGTAAAAGCACTGAAAATAGTTAGAGCATTAGAATAATAGCACTGGAATAACTTATTTACTAGGAGGAAGAACTCCAGCAAAAAATAGCTATCAAATCATCCTCTTGGTAAAGAGCAAGGATTGCATTGCACCAATTAGCCCAAATATGTTTCACAAGACCGCTTTCTGAAGCTGCCAGCAATACATAGTCTGAACATAGATCAGATAATCTACCTCTATGGTGCTGTTGGTGGGGTGTGGGGAAAATAAGGCACCCAACGTCCCTCATATCAACACTGCCTTTATATTCAACGTCACTGAGGCTACTGTCTCATCCAACATGCGTTCTGGAGCTATCCTCCTTACACTCCAGTGTTCTTCTCCACAAATAAAATCTGAGGGCCAAAATCGTGAAGTCTTCACTCATTATTACTGAGTCCTACTTGTGCAAGGCTCTCATGGAAGTTGACAGGATTTTCGCTTGAGCATGAAATGACCTCTGCACATAACAGTGTTACACCCAAAACATCAGGAATTTTAGCTCAATAGGGCAATAAGAAATTCCACAATTTATGAAACATGCAAAGGTGCTCAACAGTGGCAAAGCTCTGGGTAACTCTGAACTAAAATGGCCCACACATTAACATGCCACGTCAGTCACTGTAGATAGGAAGATGAGTGAAAGCTGATTAGTGGTAAATACAAGTTTTGGAGCCTTTTTTGAGTTCTGGAAATATAAGTGAGGACGTTATTCAGCTAATAAAAATCCAGAAACATCTTGCAGAAAGTTAAGCATATTAAGAAGAAATGTGCTAAAAATGTCGAGGAGAAGCAGACCAGTTTAAACTTTTGAAAAAAATAGATGTGGTAAATACTCCTGCAAATGATGTAGTAGAGACCTTTGAACACAACCAACCACCACCCCCCACCTCAAGTTCCCCTTTTATAGGGAAACTGTATTGGTCTCTGCATAAATAAAGTCTCTGAGCTCACCCCTCTCCCTGTACATTTAAGGGATCGATTGAATTCTTTTGAAAACACCTTTGGGAAAATCTCTCTCTTTCTTTGTCTTTTTATCCAAAGGGAAAACCTAAAACCGACAGTAAGTCCAGCAAATCATGAGGCAGCCAGGTGAAGAAATATTCTGTGCTGGTAATAAATTTTTAGGTTAAGCACTATCTTTGGTTTGTACCTAGTGTAGTGCTGAGCATACTGGATCAACGGTTATGAGTAAATAGTGATCTTTATCAGCTACTGATTTCTTATTAATTGTCAGCATAATATCCTTGAAATTCACTTACTGTACTGCCAGCGGGTAAAACATTACATGTTAGTGTATATATATATATATATATATACACACACATATATGATGATCTACTAAAAAAAAAAATTCACAAAAGATTAAAGTAAAACACATCTTCAAACACATCTTCTGTATAAAAAAGCATATTACATCTTTTCAGTTGCTGGAGATGTAATGTTTTGCAGGCAAAATGTTTTTGCTTAATACAGTCTAATTTTTGATTAAGCATTGCACTTCCTTTCAGAAATCACACTTTTCCATTCTGACAAGTCAAATCCATTGCATTTCATTATGTTTTCTAACTTTTTCTAGTTGAATTGTTAGTAATAATCTTTAATCACTAGAAATGTGTGCTTTTGACTATCTTAAATTAGACACAAATATAAAAAAGATGATGAAAATGGTAAATGCAGATGGAGGGTAATGGTCTCTCTAACGATTGGTGCAAATTATCAAAGGAAACAGAGATACTGTTTCAACTGAGAAGCAAACCTCCTTTTCACACATCATACAAGTGTGCAAAACAATTATTCTACAGAAAATGCCACAAATCAGTACTGCAAACATACCTTTTTAAGGATGATGGATTAGAGGCATGTAGATTGTGACAGCACACAAAATGGCAGCTACGGCGTAATACTCAGTAAATGAAATGTTACGAAGTTTCTCAAGAGCAAAAGCAGTTGTCTGCACGTAGAAGAAGGGACCTAGCCTCCCCAGGCTGAATAACCACAAGGAGCAAGTTAAAACACCACAGCATTTCAGATTAAGGAAGTGAGTAGTGGCGGGAGGCCCTGACACACAGGAAGTAACCGCTAACATCTAGTGTTTTACATTTTTCACAATCACTGGTGCACAAAGACTTTTCCCGCTTCTACTTAACGGGTCTCACAAAAATAAGAAAAAATTAAAAAGGTAGGAAGAAGGAGAGTATCAAAATCTTAGTTGGTTTTATTTATGGCATAGTATGTTTGCAGAATACCCACCCTCCTGAAAGGCAATTAAAAAGATCTGGCATTTTTTCCCTTTGTCATAAGGGCAGTGTCACATGGTCTGACTTTTTTAGAAGGGGATTACATGTGGAAGGCTGAAGATGATTTGGAGGCACTTAACAGTTGACTCAGTTATACCTATGCCAATCAGGGTATGCTTTGGCATTTCTCACTTAACATGCTTACTCTACAACACTGAAAAACAGGTCAGTGTGCTAGTGTCTCTGCTGCTAGCTCTGGAAACTGTATTAAGCCAAGGTAGCTAAGCCTCTCTACCTTTCTTTTTTTCTCTTCATTCACTGACCTCCTTTTGCAAATCATCTGTCATCACCACACAATGCACTTACTTGATCGAGTTGAATGTTTCCAGCAAGAAAAGGATGTAATATACTCCAACATTTACTAATTAACTTTGATTTATAGTAGCATGCAGAAAGACCATCTTTTTCAGGCTCCAAGGACCATTCTCAGTTTTTTCAAACGCATAATTTCCTCAGCTCACCAGGAAGTATTTTTTAACAACTAAAGGCAGAAGCCAGTGGAAAGCAAGGCAACTTGAGAAGATCACTTAATTTACCCTAAAAACATTAAGCAATGTATATGCCAAACCTGTGTAAAGAAGATAAACCCAGAACTTACCAGATGAAGAGTGGAAAAGCCAGGGGTACTTAAGCTTCGTTGACAGGACTGCGCAAAGCCTGGTTGGAGAGTAAATTGCTTTCTTATTTCTGCAGAGGAGTGCCTTTAATTAAGCAGAGAAAAACCCTTATAACTACAGTTATCCCCATACAAATTCCAAATGCCAGACTTCAGCATTTAGTCTCCTGTCCCAGTGTTTAGAAATGTATTTTGATGATGTTCTAAACCCCTGTTGTTTTGTAGTTGATGCAAACCTCAAAAAACATTTGCAGTCCTGTATAATTAAGATTCTGACACTCTTCCATTTCTATCATTATATTGCAGTCCTCACAACTGGAAAAGGCTATGCAAGAAAGAATAACTTTGCCCTTAAATGAAGAGTGACTGCAACCTGTACAGCAATACATTCAGATTCATTTCTACAAAGCAAAGACACTGGATAATAGAGCAGAGAAAGAAAAATGAACATCACAGAGGCAAATATTTTAATGAAGTAGTATTGACCAAGGGATAAAAACAAGACAGAACCACTCTCCGAGCAGTGTAAGCCCAGACTTATGTTAATAATGCAGTCTGCTGTGAAAAGCACAAGATAAACCAAAGCATGAATTTAAAAATCAGCCCATACTGTACCAGCTGAACATTTGAGGAAAAGACTTCTTAGATGCTAATTAATTTATTTCAATGGGAGCAGAAAGAGGCCAGTACTGAATTCTTCAGAAATCCCAGAGTGATAGTGCAGTTGCATGTACCGAGTTTTAAAATTCAGGAATCAGAGTAGCTTGGTCATTTTTCATGGAAACAAATCAATTAATATTTAATATGATTTAAGAATAATCAGCCATGAAATGGTAACAAAATATCTACAATGTATTTCACCATGAATATTCAGGACAAGATTTTTAAAAGAAGAAGATGCACCTAAGCAGACTCCAAGTAAAAAAAACCCTGCAGCCCACCAGGGCAGCCAACTGGGAGACAGTAAAATACAGAGGTAGGAAGACCTTCCCTTCCTTATGAGACTCTCTTCCAACTCCAGCAAGCATTAATAGTATCTTAGAATCGCCAGATGCCACATATCAGTTTGCCTGTTTGGTCTGCACCTTCTCTCCTCTGCAGCCTCTTGATTTCTATGACTACTATACCTATTCTGTGACACTTAATCTCTTACTACTGCTTTTCTTAACAAGCATGACAAAAACCTAAACTCTGCTCAATGCAGTTCTGCTCATGTTAAAAGACAGGCATCTCACAGAAGTTGTTAAAGGTATTAGAAGTATTAGGCCTGATTTCTAAAATAAAAGATGCATAAATAATGGTAGTTGCTCGTAGGTTAAAAGGCCACACCAGGTGTGAGTGGGACATTGCTCCAATCTGAAGGCAGCAGCAATTGCAGACAGAGCAAAGCCAGAATTATAGAGAAAGAAAAGAGATCCATTTGAAAGAAAAATTCCTACTCATCAGTGGTATTCCAAAAATCAGACAGGATTAAATGGAATTTTTTTGAAGGTTATTCAATAATTATATAAGCAAGAAGCCACATAGGGAGAGTGAGGAAGTCTGTGCATTCCTTAGATAACTTTTACCCTATTTTAAAAAGAAAAGCTGCTTATATATCAAGGTTATTGTTACTCATCTTCCCACTGCAAATAATCTCTGATCATGAATGTATGTAGCAAGTATCACACAAAACTCAAATTATTCAAAATTATTATTTTCCTTCAAACTGATTCAGTTTCTACCCTGTGCAGAAGTATCTGTTACTGATGTAAATAATAGATGTAGCAGCAGATGTTGGCTTAATGTATGTAAAAAACTGTGTTACTGTGTATTGCAGAAGTTGCTGCTGTAAACAACGATATAACACATCTCTGAATTACACCAGATATGGGGTCATCAGACTCTTTGAAAAGGAAATGGTATGAATTTTCATCTACAAAAGAGGAAACATGCATGTGGATGAAGGGCCAAATTTGCTGTCTGGTAAAAGCCTGTGCAAGCCCAGCTAACTGAGCGGAAATGCATTTCTCAAGAGCACCTACATTAGTTCCAGAGTCTCCCCAATATTCAAAGAAAGAACCTGCAAAATAAATCAGTCCAATGGAAGAAGAATCCTGTAATCTATGAAGGTGAATTTCAAATAGTTTAAGAGTAGTTCAATTGATTCATTTCCTGATTTTTTGTATCACTGAAGGAAGAAAGGGAGAAGAAATACAGTAAGAATAACAGAAGACAGCAAAGGTGGTTTGAACCAACTCAGAAATGATTGGCAGGACTTACTAAGTAGGTGAAGGAAAGACACACCTGCTAAAAGACGCTAAACTAAGCACAAGTTAGCTACACCAACATGGAGAAAAGGTGGATGTTACCGTCAGAGATCAGCACGGAAAATTTTGAAAACCTGAAAACCCAGGTGGAAACGGAGGTCCTTCTAGATGGCTCTTCAATAATGCCAGAATGGCTGTGGTCTGTGAGATGCCTGTTTTCTGATCAAACAGCCACCTCAGACACTGTCTGGGTACCCGCAGGAAAATGGTGGTCCACGTTAACCTAGCGCATGTGGTGTCCCAGCTTTTATGGAGGCTGCAGTCCATCTATGCCATAGCCATACTTTTACCTTCCCTGCCTCTACAGCAGCCCTGTGTGATTCCGAGGAGAGCTTTACAGTCACCCTTAGCAGCAAGGACGGTCTAGCTAGGTGCTGAAAACAGTAAGGAAAGAAGGCAAGTGATTAAGGATGAACACAAAGCAGTCACTGAAAAATCTGAGCAAAAAAGGCAACTAGGTCTTTAGAAAGGTGGACTCAAACAATCATGGACCAGTCAGCTGGTCTCTGGCACTCAAAAAGGTAGTAGAGCAACTTACTGGACAATCAACTTATAAGTAGCTGGAACATCAGGTCCCAAACTGTGGTCTCCAGTTGAAGCAAGGGGACCATGAAATCATACTTTCCATTAAAAAGTACATCACCTCAGTAATACCTGTTTATTAATAGTCTTACAATGAAGCGTATGGTGGGCAACTAGAAACTGTAGACTGTAGTAAGCTATGGTCCAAAAAGTTTGGCAATTATTAATATATTATTGGCAATTACTAGGTAATGATGAACAGCCAATATGGATTTATCAAAGGGCAGTCACATAAAATCAATCTAATCCTTTTCTGTGATAGTTTAACTGGCTTCAGTAAGACTCTTGATAGTGTCCCTCATGACATTCCTATAAGCAAAGTAAAGAGATAGTGGTGAGATGGTTCCAAAACTGATTAAAAAAACATATTCAAGGCGTAGTCATAAATAGTTCAAAAGAAGATTGTGAAGAGATTTCAAACAATGTACTACTGTGAGAAGCAAGTTAATTTTTCCTCAGTCTAGTTCCAGTCCATATTTCATTTGACAACACTGATGATGGTACAGGTAACATAGTATTACAATTTGTGGATCACATCAGATTGGAAGGACTTGTGAGTGGTCTGAAAGGCAGGACTGGCACTCAAAATGATCTCGTATTTTAGCAACAGTCTTAAATCAGCAGTTAGATTCAATAAAAATAAATGTTAACCCCTAAACTTAGGAAGAAAACAAAATCAAATGCAGAAATACAAAAAGGGAAATGAACTGTCTAAAGAAATAGCCATGCCACAGAAGAAGCTCGGAGAGAGTATACTGGAACACTTACTAAAAAAGTACCATAAGTGAGGAAAAAGAGAAGTTATTTCTGTTTGTTTAAGCCAATGAGACAGTGCTTAGGCTGATGTACACGCTTAGAACACCACAGAGTAAGATGCAATCAAATTCAAAAGGCTTCAAAAGAGAGCAGTCAGAATGCTAAAAATTTTAGGAAGGATGACCCATGAGGAAAGATTGAAAGAAATAGACGTGTTACAAAAGAGGTAACTGAGGGGAGCGAGCAGTTGTCCTTGACTATGTAAAAGATAGCAGTCTGTAAAGAAAGCAGTGAGAAATTCATGTCCATAAAGGGAAGAAGAAGAAGTAATCTGCTTAAATTGAAGCAAGAAAGATTTAA